GTTCTTTAAACTAATCCGAAGTGCAGAATTGTATCATTTTGTATATACAAAGCTGCAAAACTTTTATATTCGTCGAAATAAGACATCTTGTTTCTCTCTTGCATAACGTGTAAGGCATGATAGAATGGACCAATCAGAGTCCTTCATTCTCATTCCGTCGAAGTGAGAAATGATTATACGCATATTGTTGATGCATAGATCTTTTTTGTTAGGCTTCAGATTGTAATTTTACAAGCTCAGTATTGTTCTTTAAAGTAATTCAAAGTGCGGAACTATATCATTTTGTCCATACGAGACTGTAAAACTTGTTGAGCTGTAGAATTTTTGTATTAAGGAAACGAAGATCTGATGTAACAGTTGTACGAGCTAAAATTACGTGAATTTTTTAATTTTTTCTTATTTACTTGTTAAATCGATTGTCCCGCATATTCTTTTTGTGCGTATTTTAATTGCCTAAAAGGATTTTGCAATCTGTCAAGCCAATAAGAAGTTCTTTGGTGCATTGTAATATGTCGGTAATTCCCGTCACTTTAGGATCCCTTAATAAATATTTACTTTTAAAAGTTTTGATTGCAGTTAATACTTTCATACATTTTTAGTTTTATAGATTTTGGAAAAATAATCAATTATTATAAAGATATATCAAATTCATTACAAATTAGATATATAAATAATTACTTTCTTATTTTTATTTCTATCCAAAAAATTCATTAAACAAGGAAGATGAATAATCTTATATAATATCATGTATTAATATATCTGAAGGTTCTTAAAAGATATTATTAAAAATAAGAACTTATCTATTAAGAAATTCTATTTAAATAAACTAATTAATTAAATTAACTAATAATTATAAATTTCAACTTAAAAAAATCGTGAAAAAGCGAATAGGCGTCATATTGAACGTCAATCGAACTGCGTTGTATCACTATCATATTACTAACGAACGACTATCAATTATTATTAAACTGCTATCAACGTCAATCAATGATTACGTGAAAAAGCGGACAGCGTCATATTGAACGTGCGATTGAACGATCGAACTGCGTTGTATCACTATCATATTATTATCGAACAACTATCAACGATTATTTAAACTATCAACGTCAATCAAACTATTATCAACCACTTTGAAATGATGTCAATCGAACTGCGTTGTACTACTATTACTATCGAACGACTATCAACCATTGTTAAATTACTATCAATCAAATTATTACCAACTACTCTCGACGTTGAGCGGGTATGGGTCTATCGGGGCCCGCCGCTACCCAGCATGTTTGCTCTTTTATATATATACTTACCACACCTGAATCACAGGTGGGGTCTCTCCTTCTCCTTCCCATCTTACTGTTGTATGCTCTCCCCCTTCCCTGTTACAATTCTTTTACGCGGTCTCTCTTCTTCGAAGATCTTTTTTTAATTTTATTGTTTGAATAACATTATTGTTATATAATATTGTCAATCTGCGGGAGGAGGTAAGAGTTCGCCTTCAATAAATACAAAAATATATGATTCAGGAAGATTATTTTGGATTATAATCATCCGATTTTTATTATTTGATAATAATATTGATAATAATATTGATAATATCAAATTAGTGTTATAATAATAATAATAATAATAATATCATAGGGAATAGTGGAGAAGGGAATGATTGAGAAGAGAAATAGTAATTAATAAATTAATATATTTCTTCAGTATTTATTTTTATATTTTATTAAAAAATTTTAAATTCGAAGAATGATATTTTTTAATATACATATTTTATTTCTCATTTAGTGCACAATATTATTTATAGCGTAAGATATTAATTTGCAATCTATAGGTGAATTTTTATCATAAATCTTGCGCAAAACTTGCACCGCATCGCATTTATCCGTAATACAATTTTGACATAAAAAGTTTACAAATTGTTTAAATTTTTCATTTATGCGATGTATATTTTGACATAACCAGATATGCATGCTCGATGCAATGATCCAATTCAAATAAAAATAGTACGTTGATGGCTTCATGTATAGCAAGTTCGCAATGTTTTACAATACTATTTTTATACATTTTAACGAGTTCTATAACCAAATCGTGAATTGTTAATGATGAAATCGCAGTCGATTGTACGAGTTGCTCGATATCCGCGCGTCTTTCAATGAACATCTTCGTGTCGGTCCACAATCTTGTTTTAAGACTAAATCGTTGTCTTTAAACGGAAGCTGTAGACCCGTAAGTCTCGATTCACAATAAGTATTTAATCTTTAAATCGTAAGAAATTGACCAATCATAATCGATTATTCTTTTCATATTCGATTATAATTGGTCAATTTCTTACTTCTTGAAGCTTAAATCATCTATTGTGGGCCGACACTAAACAGTAATCGTTAAATAACTCTTTAAAGATGGTAATCCACAATGCAAGATGTAAAGCGTAAGATGTAATGTACATCAGCCAATCAGAAAAAAATAATGGAATTGCGCTGTAGCAAAGACGCGTTTGTTTATACATGGCGAGATGGATATGCGTAATACTTTTCTGTTAACAACATTAACAACATTGTTTTGTTTGTGGAATGTGCACTTGTTGCAAATATATGTAATAAAACAAAAAAGAAAATATCAAAATCGACGATGGTGGGTGCGTCCATGTAATCGACGTCGCTATATCGAGGGCTCTTTTACAATAGTGTTCTTGAAATATAAATATACAGACTACGAAAAGTTTTTCAACCTGACAAGACTGACAGTCGATTTATTTGATGAATTACTAGAAATAGTTGGTCCACATCTACAAAAGGCCAGTTACAGAGAATTTTTATCCCCGGAATTTCGGCTAGCATTCATATTTAGTAAGTTAGATTCCATAATTATTAGTTAATTTTATTAAAATATATTTCTATAGTTATAGAAAAATCTTCTATAAATGGTTGTCTATTTCAGCTATCTAGCCTCAGGAAACAGCTTGCCTTCTTTGGCTAATTATTGGCAAATTGAAAAGTCTACTGCCTACGACATTGTGCAGGAAACTTGTCGCGTTATTTCTAATACTATAGGTGCAACCTATCTCTTGCCCTCAAATTAGCAAGAATACAGAGAAATTGCTGATAAGTCGGAGCAACTGCGTCGGAGCCCTTGATGGCAAACATATAAGAATTAAATGTCCAGCAAATACTGGATCTCAATTTTTCAACTATAAACAGTATTTTAGTATAGTGCTAATGGCAACTTGTGATGCAAATTACTGCTTTACATCAATCCATATTGGAGATTATGATGAGTTGATTTGTATGAGTAGTGATATAAATACAATATTATATATTTCATATCATCATTTTATAAGATCGCTTTCTGATAGCAGTGTGTTCAGTGCTACAGAATTTGATCAAGCTGTGGAAAATGATACACTGAATATACCACCGCCCCTTTGCCCGGCACAAATATTATGATGCCTTATTTTTTTGTAGGGGATGAGATATTCCCTTTACGTCACAATTTGATGCGCCCATACTCTAAACGAAATCCATTGACTGAGACCCAGCGTATTTTTAATTACAGACATTCTCGAGCTCGACGAGTAATAGAAAATGCTTTTGGAATTTTATCAACAAGGTATAGTAAAGGAATAAAAAAATTATAGTAAAGGAAAGGTATAGTAAAGGAAATAAAATATGACATTAATCTTATCCGGAAAGTATCATTGTCAACATTTGTGTTTATATTCCAGGTGGCGTGTTTTTCGGACTTCATTAGCCCAACAGAATCTATTGAAAATATTGCATATGCAATAGTAAGCTTACATAACTTTATAAAGAAGAAAGAACATCAACAAGGATTTAAGAAATATTGCCCTCCTGCGTATGTTAATCAAGAGGATGATAATAGAATTATGATTCCAGGAGAATGGAGGAGAGATGCTGCAGCACCTAATATTCAAAACTTGCACAGAATAGATGCAAATCGTGCAGCTGTTGCAGCTGTTAATTTAAGAAATACACTTGCTGATTATCTTATCAACCACGAAGAAGGTCAAGTTCCTTGGCAAAGAATGATTGTTTTCCGTGGCTATAATATTAATGTTCCTTAAACATGTACATATTTCAGTGTAACATATAATGTAGTTCTAAGCATGCAGTTTTAATTACTATAATAATAACATATTTGGCTCATGTATAATAAACCTCAACTCATAAACATAATTTTTTTATTGCATCTTACAATTATAACATATTTAGTTACATTTATAATAAACATATGTATCTATTTGTATATCACATGTATAATAAATCTTAACTTAAAAAAATAATTTTTTATTACACATTTTGTGAGTAAAATAAAAAAATATATTTAGTTATAACAACTGTAACAAACATAAATATTTATTTTTGCATCATATCAAACCTTAACTAAAAAAAAACTAATTTTTTATGTGTTATGAATAAAATGTATTTACATTGATAAAAAAATATATTTATTCATGCGAAGGTTTTAATATCTTATTATATTAATAAATATTAGCTGCGTTTAGCCAAATGCAGTGTTTATTTAAAAAAAAATTTTTTAAGATATTAAAATTAAATATGTAAAATAAAATATAAATTAAAATTAAAATTAAAATTAAAATAAAGAAAACATCAAATAAACGAAGGCAAATAACAAACGTAAAGACAAATTAATGTTGTACTAAATCAGCTTGTATAGCTTGATAACTTTTGATTACATTCAATGTAGCAATTAAACAATCTACTTGTTTCATCACTGGTACTTGATCAAATGCAACTAAAATACTCTCAGCATAAGGATTCGACTTATATTTGTGTTCATTTATTTTATTAGGAACAGATTCAGAAATGGATTTGTGCACAACTGTTGCAAGATTGGTTAAGGTTGAGGTTGATTGTGTTAGAAGGTTTTCTACATCATTTTTTTGTTTTTGTTTTTGCAAAAATATCTAAATCAGGAACGACTTTCTTCTTTTTTAAAAGAACAGATTTAGTTTCAGGCTTTATTTCAATAGTTGTTGAATCATAATTATCAGAACAAGCAGTACTCTCATTTGTCGAGCTAGTATTATCGTCAACAACAACATATCTACACTATCATTTTGTACAAAATCAATGTTGCATACTTTGCTGCTTATAAATGGCTGTGGTGATGTAGGGAAAGAAATCTCTCAATGATGTAGATAACGTAGATGATATAGAAAAATATACGTTTCTCATAGAACTACGACCTCTGTAATAAATACATATGTTTATTGATCAACAAATTTTTTTTAGAAAATACTCACCTTCGGTGACTAATATGTGGAATTAGAAATGACATAGCTCCCATAAGATACCATTCCACTTTTTTAGCATTAGTGCCTCCACTTGATCCACTGGTTAATTTTACTTTCATTTCTTTTAATTTTTTCCCAATTTTTTCTATTCTCTATTTCTTCGACTATATGAATAACAAAGAGGTTAGAATAAATAAATTGTAAATTACACATTTTAGCACATACATAAACAGCAATAACCTGATGACATTCCACACTGTACTTTTATCATATTCCATTACTTCGTATCCTTTACTTCGTGGTTTTTATAATCCGGATGTTTTTTGTTATACAATATCAGGTTCTCTTTCACTAAAGAGATTAGAATTTCATCTTGAATTTCCTCCTTCATGCTTTCTTTTGTTATTATCACGTTTGAGTTTTCCATTATTATTACGCTTATTTATTAACTAATTCAGTTAACAAGATCACAGCCATCGGAAATTATCCACAAGGAATGCTAAATGCATCTCATTCAAACGATGCCTTGACATAACAATCTTCCTTTTTGCTGATTGGATAGGAATGATACGTCGACCGGAAGATTTATGCTTTAGGCCGTAAGAATTTTGCGCAATTCGCTTACGTCTTTAGGTTAAAAACTGCGCGGGAACAACTTAAAAAGGAATTAGTGTCGGTTCACAATAAGTATTTAATCTTTAAGCCGTAAGAAATTGACTAATCATAGTCGAGTATTCTTTTCATATTCGATTATAATTGATCAATTTCTTACTTCTTAAAGCTTAAATCACCTATTGTGGACCGACACTTACGTCACTTAACGCTTACGGCCTACGGCTTATGGCCTCTTAAAGCAAGATTGTGGACCGATACTTCCATGTTGCATGAGACAATATTATCTGATTGCTTTGATTATTGTCAAGAATCAATTCCACATAAGACTTTGGTTTCACATTGATTCCAATATCCAAATATTTATATGCTGTGGATGTCAATGCGAATCTTCTCCCCAAAATAAGACCTGTATAACGGGGCGATGAATTTTGAGAAGACGTACTATAAGAAAAAAGATTACATATACATGAACTGTAGGAAAATTGTCTTGAGATTGTTTTATGGAGAATGAAACTTATTTTGATTGTACGTTTCATCTTATTGAATTGGAACGTAATATTTTATATTCTCATACATTTTTCTTGAAATTTTGTAGTAATAGAGCTTTCGTTTTTTTCATAAAGCGAATAATATGCGACTAATATAACATGTTAGAACTGAGCGAATGCTGTAGTAACATTGTCTAAAGTTCTTTATATATTATATTCCGCCACTATTTTTTTTGTGAAAACAATGTGCTATCGATATCAATTCCAATGTTATTTTCTTCAAAACATAGAAATTTATTTATCTTAATGGATATTCTAGTTTTTAGTGTAGAATACCATTAAATCTATCAATCACATAAGACGGTATGCAATTATCTGGTAAAAATTTGATAATCTGTTAAAATTCGCTAAATGTAAAAAGTTTTTTCGGGAAGATGCTCTACCGATATTTGTTCCAATGTTATCTTTCAAAACATGGAATCTACTTATATTTACAACAGCTGAGATAAGACCTACATTATCAAATACACGTTTTCAAACCTTGAATGATGTAGTAGTTCTCGTAGTAGTATATAAAATGAGAAGACTGAGATACACCATGTCAGTGAAGTTGGAAGTTTCGAGTGATACATAAAAATATACATTGATCCTTATGGAAAGTGGAACTAGAAGATATAGTGCAGCAAGAGGAAATGAAATTGAAGAAGATTTTGGTCACTGGGTTCTTATGGATGATTCGTGTTATGAAAGTGATATGACAGATGAAGAGACTGAAAAAATATATCGAGACTTAAAGTAAGTTGAAGTTAATGCTCTGAATGCTCTGAATCTGATTCGAAAAAAATGTGTGCAATATATTTTTATTACATTAAAGAAGTCTTCATTAATAAAAAGTATTGCTCACAGTGCGTCGTATAAATTAGTGAAATATTTCCAAGTTTTTGCGCCGTTCGAAAGCATGTCACTTATCAATATGCATTCATATGGATGGTAAATATTGTTCGGAATGCCGACACCCATTGTTTCAAATAATACCATGTAATATCCTCGATAGCAGAACCTGCAGAAACAGATTTTGAACAAAGCCTGCTACCAATATTTGATGACAAAAAAGTACCAAATTGCACAGAGTCTGTAATATCTGACGTTGGGAGCAAACTGTCCTGAAAAATAGGACAAAGTCTGCTAATATGCTATACCAACAGATTGGCAGCAAAAATCGAGCAGAGCCTGTCGCATATTTAAACACAATAATTGGAAAACTACCGCTAGATGGCGTCCGTTTCTCACATGCAAAATTTATCAAACTTTCTATATAAGCGAAATCATAATCAAAATTTAAACATGCATTTATTTACGTATTTTTATGTATATGTTTGATGTAAGACGTAATCGTCCAACAAGGAAGTTAGGGCAAACTCTGTTCAATTTTTGACACCAATCTGTTCGCATAACATGTCAGCAGACTCTGCTCGGTTTTTGCCGCCAATCTGCTGGCATAGTATGTCAACAGGCTCTACTCGATTTCTGCCGTCAATCTGTTCGCATAGTATGTCAGCAGACTCTGCTCGATTTTTGCCGCCAATCTGCTAGCATAGTATGTCAACAGGCTCTGCTCGGTTTCTGCCGCCAATCTTCTGGCATAGCATGTCAGCAAGCTTTGTCGACAAATCCCGAGCCTAATGCGGACAGATGGCTATGGATTTGCAGTCAATATTTGATCGAATTTGTTGCCAATTTGTTAGCAAATTGCTAACATTTTATTTGCTGGGATGTGTCCTATTTGCACAAAGTGAACTTCTATAAAAGACATATACCAAGAATATAAAAATAATATTTCTCAGAATCATTCTCATATTTAGTGACTGTAAAAGAGAACATAATATGGAGAAAACGGAGTGTGATTTGATAGAGCAATCCACTCGATTGAATATGTCAAAAGAATTTAACACGTGGAAACAACGATGTGATGAGTTTATCAAATCGCTGAATGAACACAGTCGAACTAAACATCCGCGATTATAAATCGGTGTGAGACAATCGGTAATCGCACGTATCACGCGACTCGAAAGTTTGAAAGATTCGGTGCGCGGAAGATTCGTGCAAGCGCCGGATGTAATGCAAGACTTCGATGACGTAGGATAGATACGGCTTTCAAAAGTCGTATATTAACGGGTAATCAATTTCAAGCACATTGAACCTCATCAGTTTCTCGAGGATGCACGAGAAATTGTACTCGAAGGTGTACAAAGTGTCATGCGGAAGCATGAGAATGTCAAGATAAATGTTATATTTAACGGTGAATTTGTCGCGGGTGAAAAACGCGCCAATAAAAGTATCGCTACGAGAAACTGTGAACTATATTAGTACTCTGATTTGCAAGAGTGGTACCAATTATACGTTATCGAGCGTATCTTGATATCACTTGAGGAATTTCAGAAACGCGATAGCGGATGGGCTTTGTCACGTATATTAAAAATCGGACACGTGGAAAAAGAATATGCCTGTCTCGTTTGTTCTTTTGTTCTTTATTCTA